ATGTGTGCGCTGCTCTGAGCAAAGCCTCTATCAACAACCCTCCCCAATCAGTCGCAGTCCTTATCATACCAGAATAATTTCCAAAGACTTTGAGGAACTTTGTAATCATTAGCCCTTATGGCTCAGAGAATTTCTTACTATGACGAAAAGGACCACTCATCTCACCTAACAGGACCAAAAGTCTGAACGGGCGAGTGCAGCTGTCCGTCTCCCGCCACACTAATTACAAAAACTTTTCCGATGCCGGGAATCGAACCCGGGCCTTGCGGGTGAGAGCCGCAAATCCTAACCACTAGACCACATCGGACCATGCACGGTCAGCCATTCAGACTGAAGCCTCCAAACCAACGAACTTAGTTCTCAGTCCACTGAAGTTCTGCAGCACTCTATACAAGTACTCAAAATCATCAAAAGAACAAAGTCCACTTTCGACTGACCTTGTCTGAAATCAATAGCTGGATAGATAGGACATCCTGCCAATGGCTTTACTGAGCAGGATATTGACGCTATATCGACCGGCTCACGAATAATAGAGTATGGGGTACCACCCACCACTAAATGTTTCTCAGAATCCATAACTTCCTCGAGAGTCTGTAAAAAAACAATCGTGATCACCATATTCCATCACGAAAACTCAGTCACAGCTTACAAGTGAATCTGCTTTGTTTGAAGAGCTGGATGCTTCTACCGAAACCGCTGCTTCAGATGTTTCTGTAGATGGAATCGAATCAGGAACCGCAGTCTTCTTGCTCTTTTGGGGTGTCGTAATTTTATGGATTTTAAATTCTATCTGAAAAAGTAGTCATGAAGTGAAACGAATCGAAAAATCCCTCAAAAGTGTCAAACATACTACCGCGCAATAACATATTTATTCGTCAATACAACGAACTCTGGTTCATTCTCTACCAAATGAGGTTGAATGCTAGAAACTTGCCTTCTTAGCAGTTTCACAGAAGGGTTCTGTAACTGGCCGTCTTAATGTGATTAAGAAAGTCTTGTCGTTGTACTGGTAATTGAATAACAGTGATAGCAAATTCGACCTGGAAGTAGAGGTTAAAATCACAGTCAGTAGATCAGGAGCTTCGATAGAGTCAGAACTTCCGATTTGAAAAATCTCATCCAAGAAACTGCATTAGTTTTGGAGCGAGAAATAGCATCAGGATAGCGCGTTA